GGCGCTGACCAAACTCCTAAAATTAGTTCGGTACATTCACCGACAGATGGCGATTAGATAGACTTTGGAAAGCGCGCGAAATTTGAATTAGTTATTCTAATATCAATAGTAAATTCTTATTTTTTGCTTTTACTTTTTCACCGCGAGATGGCGAGTCGATCGATGGACACCATTTGAGCATTATTTATATAGTTTATAATGTATAACTTAGTAATTTCAAATAATACCTTCAGGTATGAATAGAAAAATGCTTAAAGGATATTTAACTTAAATTACTTGATATAAGTTTATCATAGATCAGTATTTCTTATGCACAAATAGTAACCCGTGTATCTTTATTAAGGTCACGACCTCCGGCCTAAGAAATATCAATGTCAATAAACAGAAGTTCAGAATGACAGAATTTCTGTCTTTTTATGTATAAAATTGAAATTGAAAGAAGAAACATTAGGTTAAACGAATTGGAATGGGCGCGGCACGTGTTCATCGTACCACGTTGCATGCTGTGTCTTGCTCAACTATACTGATACTGTATTACTATAGTTTAATGCTGTATACTTACCGCGTAACGAGCGGAACCGATAGCAATTTATGTAACGCCGTCGACGGCCTTTGGTGGGGTCAACCGAATAAACATATTCAACAAGCAATCTCGCGTAGCAGTTTGTCTCACGTTTTTAACTATGAACATCGACTTTGAGGGTAAACGCATTTTCGTAACCGGCGCTGGACGAGGTACGCTATAAAATTAGCATATACGCATGCCATTTCCTTTGCTCTCGGCATCTCGTTATCTAGATTATGAACACGAAACCTATAACGTTCTTAAACGTCTGTCTAATAATCGTTTCATCTCTGCAACGAGTCGAATTGGAAAGCTTACTCGATTGCCTGAGAATGTGTATACAACCAATCAGGGTCGATTATATTTATACACAAACCGAGATAGGGCTTATCTCGATCTATAACCTTTTCAAGTCCTATGTCAAACGAGGCTCGACTATCCTCCGATTTACAAAAATATCGTATAATAAATTCTGATTAGTTTTTCGTTGGAATCTATTTGTTTTACACAAAAATAAATAGAAATATCTACCAGAGTGTAAAATGTATTTTATCGATATCTTTTCGTTACTCGTTCATATACGTTTATCAGCGTATTAAACGGTAACCAGCAATCAGCAAAAATTCGATTATGTAAACGTTATTTTTTTGTTCTTTATCTGCCCTTGCGGTGATACTTCGAGGTCACTTTCCAAAGAAAAAAATAAATGCCTGACTGCAGAAAGCGTACAATATAGATCGTTAAAAAATCGTAGGCATCGGTAAACAGTTGGCCCTCCGGCTCTCCAAGTACAACGCGCAGGTGATAGCGCTGTGCAAGACGAAGGAGAACCTGACGACGCTCAGCGGGATAGATCCACGTATCCAAACCGTGTGCGTGGATCTTCGCGACTGGAATGCCACCAGAAAAGTGGTCGAGAGCATTCTACCTATCGATCTGTTGGTGAACAATGCCGGCGTCGCGGCTCTTCAGCCCTTCCTGGAAACCACGGAGGAAGACTTCGACGTGACTTTCGACGTGAACGTCAAGGCCATGTTCAACGTCTCCCAGGTGGTCGCTAGGGACTGGATCAAGAGAAAAGTCGGCGGGAGCGTCGTCAATGTGTCTTCGCAGGCCAGCCAGGCTGCCCTGATGGATCACGCTGTCTACTGCGCCTCCAAAGGAGCCGTGGACATGCTGTCCAAGTAAGTAACTAACGGAACGATAAGATAAACAAGAAACTTTTCCGCGTTTCCATTTTCAGAGCGATGGCTCTCGAGCTAGGCCCGCACAATATTCGAGTGAACACCGTGAACCCCACGGTGATTATGACAGAAATGGGAAAACTAGGCTGGAGCGAACCGGCCAAGGCGCAGAGCATGATCAGTAAAATACCACTGGGCCGATTTGGCGGTGAGTAGTGATCTCAGTGTCCATGCCACTGAGTCTTCATCCTTCTGGAAATAATTGTACGGTTACGATACGTCTTCTATTCGCAGAAGTGGACGAGGTGGTGGACGCCATCGTCTTCCTCCTAAGCGATCGCAGCTCGATGATCAACGGAGTCGCTCTACCCGTAGACGGTGGATTCTTGGCTACGTAAACTGCGTCCCTATGTACACCGAATCTCGTTTCTAAAATAAACTGACTGGTTTCAGAGACAATTGCACGATTAACGACATCGTATTGGGGGTACGAATAAGTGTCGAGGGAAAAGATGGCGCAACTAGTATACTTTATACTTTATTTATTTATTTAATAGTATACTAGTTACGGCATCTGTTGCAAATCCCTCGAAACTTATTCGTACCCCCAATAATATATTATTATACATTAGATCGTCCAAATATAAGCGAAACGGGGAGTCGAGGAGATTGGGGATGGAGTAAAAGAAACGCTGAAACGTGGTTGTTCGTTTATCTCGTTTAATTTAAAAAATGCTTCGTTTCCTCTTTTTATTATTCAACTAGAATTCGGCGAGCCGACGACAGGCTGACCGCGAAACGATCGCGCTCGTCGCAGAAGAAGCTCGTATTACCGAAAATATTTTAGCGAGTCGCGTCGGTCCGCGGCTGCACCGACGCCGCCGTTTCCGATCTAAAAACAAACGTTCGTTTCCGGCTCCTAATCGGTATCATTTACCCCTACACGGTGAACATATAAAGAGCGGCGGAGAAAAACGCGAAATTAGACGGCCTGCACGAAGGAGAATTTCTTCGACGAATGAAATCGTCGGACGTCGCGCTTGGCTCGTTTCTCGCGTACGATTTACGTATAACCCTTTAACGCCAGCGATTCTTAATCGTTCGTCGAACCATTTCGATCGTCGAACGCAACGCCGAGCGATTCGGACGAGAAACGATAGCGGAGAATTATTATTCGCTCGCGAGACGTACATGCCCGATTGTCATCGGCGTAAAAAATATACGATTCAATCCTAGATGATTAAGAATCGCTTCGCGACGGTACGAGTACTAGGGAGAATTCAACGTACATAGAAACGGCGTTCGATTCGCTCCACGCACCTTTAGCTGCCTATTTTGATTTCGTTTATCCGGAGAATCGTGTTTTCGTCGCATAAAGGATCGACACGTTCGGCGCGTCGACGCGTTCACCCGATAAGAAAATGCAAACAATGAAACGCGAACGGAAAATTTGGCATTCGCATGAAAACCTCGACGATCGTCGCCGATTATCGTCGCGTGCACGCTTACAACGGACGCGCACGCGACATTTTCGGAACGAAGAAGCGAACGGACAACGATGGTCGTAATCTTACAATTGCACTTCAGTTAGGAGTTTAACGAACTCACGTCAAGAATGTCAAAGACAATGTAAGTTTAATTTGATCTCGATAGATCGACCCACGGGGGACACAGGAATAGGCGACGTTATCTTATTTGGGTAAAAAGTGAACGAATAAAAGATAAACGAGTAGTCGAATAAAAACATGAATCCGAATTACGGAATATTAGTCGATATTTTGGTTGCGAGCCTTTGCAGCTGGCTGCTTCGAATGGCGCTGATATTCGAACCGTTCGACTTAACCCTTTCGTCACGGGTGCTGACTATAATAATCGGCGCACAACGAAAGGGTTAATCGTTATTATTCGTCATCTTTTATCCGAATGAAATTCTGCCCATCTCTGTTGGGTCACGCGTCGTCCGACAGTACAAAAAGAAAGAAAACCTACGTGGCTTCGCTAACAACAACGGAAGCAGCCTCTTTCGTCGGTGGGTCGATGCTCGGAACAAGAACGATGGATTCGAACAGCGGCGAATTTACACAATTATTCCTTGTCGTTGTTAACATCGCGCCGTCACGATTGATCGCCGCAGATCGATCAGCGGGCCTGTGCTTTCTATCGATCTGTAGCTCTTGCCATCCTCGGAGATCTTGAACAATAAGAAAGGTGAAAAAGACAGCGAACGAGTCTCTCTCGAGAAGGATCGTCGCGATTACGTCGCTTTAACGCGTTCTGTACGATACCGGTTAACGATCGATCGCGTATCTGAAGCAAAACGAAGGTGGTGATGCCGGTCGATTACGAGGCCTTGTGTAGTAAATGTATTTCCTTTTTAAATTACCGTTCTAGTTGGGATCTTATCTATAGGTGCATCCAGCAGAGGCAACCGTTCATACTCTTGCATTCTTTGCTTTGATTCGAAGGAACCAGACGAATCAAAGCAGAAAATCCGAGAGAACCACTTAACGGTTCTCTGTGTCGAATGCACCGAATGTTCGCGCGGGTAATTTCGATCGGTTGAAGTATCCGGGAACCCCGAGGTTCCGAAAGGTGTCGAACGTGTCAAAAGAAAATGGAAGTCCACGGAAAGGAGACTGCCTGGCTCGTCTAGGGTTCGTCCTTTGTAATCACCGATTCTTCTTGAAAACCTCTTTAAGATCGAGATTACGAACCAGGTGTACCTAGAAGACGTCGAACGAGTCGATCGTTTAGCCGCTGGTGCTTTTCATCAACCTACAAAGAAAGAAAACGTGTATGCGAGAAGGAAGATCGAGTCTCGGAGATGGCAAGAGGTGGTTGTGCGATGATAGAACGAGAAAACGAAAATTTCGTGGTCGAGTGAAGACGAAAGCCACGAGTATCGTGTATCCTCGCGTACTCGCACATTCTTCTTAATCTCCCAGGAAGATGTACACTGTCCACCGTTAAATATAAGACCGTTCTAAATATCGCGTATCTTGTACATTTCGATATAAACTAAGCGAAAGCAAGTATACTACGATCTCGAGGAAGATTGTTTAACCCTAGAGAGTGCGCATCGAATTTCCACGTTGGCGTAGATCGGGAACGAGGTTATTATCGAGGTTACAACGTAATTGATTGAATCGAACAAAGTTATTCCTTTGAAGACGTTGCAAACATAGTTACGTTTCGCTTATGGAATGATAAGAATCAATGTTCGGTCGTTAGGAGCAATGTTTTTATTCTAGGTATATTTATACAGAATGACAATTGTATAACTTAAAAAGAAATTTAATAAAAAAAAAAAAGAAAGAAAGAAAAAAAGAAAGAAAAAGAAACGAAAGAAACGATTAACAGAATCCGCATCGAAGTGCAAGAAGAAATACAACAAAAACATGATCGAAGTTAACTAATTAAATTACTATATCATTCCTTCTGCTCCGGTTTGGGTTCAATTTTTTCTTTTTCTTTAATACAACCTTATCCTATACCTGGTTTTATATTTACCAAACAGCGTAGAAACAGTTTCTCTTATTTACCTTTATATACAAGTACTTATTGCGTTTTATTTAGTAGTCTGTCAGCGCGTTTCATTTTCGTATGGTATACTTGCTTCGACTAAACTTTAATCGCTGCATACAAAATACGCGAGCCTCGGGACGGTTTTACAGTTGTGGCGAACAGTGTTGTATCTATAACGCAACAAATAAAAAAAAAGAAAAAAAAAAGAAGGAATTAACGAAACGGGAAGGCAAGCCCGCATCAGCTCGCTTCGCGACGGCTAAAACGCTTCCTTTCATTCGGCTTCACCGCATGGTACGCAAAGACAGTTTATAATATATATATATATATATATATACACACACATATATATATATATATATATATATGTATATATATGTATATAGAGTATACTCTTTGTCGGTATCGGTTTTGTTTGTTTCCTCGGATATTTCGTTTATCTAATCGTCTCTCATTGTTACTTTCTCACGCACACGTTTACACACGGGGATGCACGCACGGACTCGCACACACACACACACACGCAAATAGAACGTTCGCTCTTCCTCCATATCACGCTTTTCGCATTGTTTATAGTTATATAGTAAATTTTTTTTCTCCCTTAATGGATCAATAGTAATTGTATATATATGTACATATACAAACCGGTCGCTTCGATACAATTTTATCGATTAGTACAGTTAAAATACGATTAATCGTACATCCCGACGCGATACCGGGACCATCGTGGCGCCTTCGGGCAGGAGACCGTTTTACGTTGTTCTTTAACCCTCTCTCTCTCTCTCTCTCTCTCTCTGAATTGAATTTTTTGTATCGCAGTTCTCTTCGAACTGAGAAGCCCCGCGGTTCGACAAACCCCATAGTTTCGAGAAGAAAGAAGAAACTCCTCTAGGCCGAGCAAACCCCGTCTGTCGTACAAGTTTTCATTCGCTTCGTTTCGAGAGTCCTCGAAATCGCAGCGCTCGACTTTATTCCGCTCAGTTTGCGCCAACGAGGAACACGTTCGATTCGTCCTCATCCCCGTATTACCAACGAAAGGATACGCGCTACAGTTACGAAGAATTTCAAGAAAAACTAAAAAGTCGCTTTTCAATTATCCCCGAAGTTGTCAAGAGACCAAAAGAAAGAGTCAACATGAACCGCGGTCTGGGAATTATAGACTGCTCAGGGCCACCGAGCGGCTAACCCTTTTACTCCCATTGCTCCGTCCTCAGCTTCTACGCTCCGTCCATCTTTGTGCTTTCAGTCTCCCAATTGACACACCGACCGTCGCATCGTCTAAATTTTTATTTACACCAACGCGTTACGGTTGCGCGGTTCGCATCTAAATTTCCGTTCCTCGGAACTCGAAGTACGAAGGTACAAAATATAGAGAAATTTTGAATAAAATCGGTTCGCGCAGTCGGTGCGTTACAGGAGCGAGCGGCGAAGTCGGGATTTCGCGACGAGAGACGTGTTTCGTGCGACGCGAACTGTGCTCGGTTAAAAAAATGAAACGGAACCGGAGGATTCGGTTGCTCCTCGTTTTACGCTGGCGTCGATCACCTCGGGAATGATTTGATTCGAGAACCTTCGTGGGGGTGGGGGGTGGGGGAAGGGGTGGGAAGCGACGAGGTCGGAACGGTTTCCGCGTATCTTGTCAGTCATGATTGGAAACGCGAGAACATTCGCTCGCGCTGGCAGTGTTTGTCTCGTCCGAGGTTGACGACTCGAGGAATCCTCCTCGATTCGACTACTCTATCGCAAATTGCACCAAACATAAATCTGCTAAGAATTTCGAGAACGATCGCTAACGAAAAAATGATTTCGATGTAGCATCGACATCGAATCTAACTTGAACGAATCTTAAATTATGTGAATCGAAATGAAATCGTCGTCGCGATTGCATCGAGGAGACGTTCCTCGAGCGAAGAATGCGCGTTAATCGAAAATAAAAGAGTGAAAAAGAATGAGAACGATGGAAGGGGTCGAGACGTTGACATCGAATAACGATTACAAAAAGTAATTATTACGGGTATCGTTCTGTACAAAATTAACGAAATTCGTGAAGCAGTATATCACGCAATATTTGTAATGATCGTCCCTAATTACGTTGATAATTGGTACAAAGGTAGTTGTTCAAGTATATCGTAACTCTTACTCGTAACAATTTACAATCGAGAGGACAAAGGCAATTCCTTCGCGCTTGCGTCGCTACTGCCGAAACATCGTTAACAATAATCCGATCGATAATTCCCATGGGTTTAAATTAGAGGAGCAAGCGGCGTCCGCGAGAGCGCAGAGGACAGAGAACAGAAATACGGAGGCAAAAACGAGAGGAACGCGCTATGATCGCGACACGCGACGGAAACCGAAATCGCGGACCCGTCGCTTCCGGTTCTCTCGCGTACGGTCGACGAGAGAAACTTCCGTTGCAAGTTTCCGAGTAGATCGTTGCGATCGATTCGTGTTCTTTGTACAAGTTACAACGTAGCGAATAGTGTAATTAACGGTAGAAGCAGCGGTAGTTGTAATGGTAATAGTAATAGCTGGTAGTAGTTAATAGTAAATAGTTAATCGTACATAGTAATAATAGTAGCGGTAGTAGTACCCTATGAAAAATAAAAAAAAAAAAAAAAATAAAAAAATTACATAGAAAAACATGTGTCGGTATAATATATATTTATGTATAACCAGTTTTCTTATCACGTTATTTTTTGTTTACTCGCATAATTTTTTTGTTTCTTTTTTTTGTATGCAACTCGTCGACGAATGTCTATACAAGATGTTGATCCGGGAATGAGGAGGAGGAAAAGGATGAGGATGGTAGGATGAGAGGAGCGAAACGGGAAGTGACGTGGGTGGAAAATTTGTTTGTGAAGAACGAGAATGGAAGTGGACGCGCGGGGGACGAAAGGAGATTAAAGCGTCCCACAAACTGCTCCGACGTGACGTGAGCCCACGTCACGTCGGAGCAGCCTGTGTTCGATCGTTCCCTGTGCGATCTCTGCGAGAAATAAATTCAGTTTTCGCAAGAAAATTGTTTACAAAATCTTATCTTTCTACTTTTTCCCTCGGCCTTTCCTATCCTTCCTAAGTCTGGACACGCGAAATTTTTTCCGTGCACGTTCTCAACGCAAAAGGCATAGCACGTGGGACACGCATAACAGCACAGTGATTAAGTACGATGCTTTAGGAAAGTCCTTCGTCAAGATCGCATACGTAGACACACGTGAGCGACCGTAGCTCTTTAATGGACGCGTCTCGTAAAACAGAATTCAATTTTTCGAGCATGAAAAAATGTTCGATATGTAAGGACTAGTCAATTTCCATGATCGAATAAACCTGAAACAATAAAAGGCTCGACGATCTCGGAGTTCGCTCGAATCGCTTAGAGTCTATAAAAATAAAAGATTTAGCAACATTTCGCATGATTCTAATAAAATTAATTGGTACACACATCTTTACAGCAAAGTAACAGAATTATACGGGATTTGTTTCGCTTGGTTTGTCACCTGATTCGCAGACCCGAGCTTCGAGACTCTTCCGCTCGTCGTCGGACAACCCGGACTACGGAAAGACTTTTCTAATGCATCGGAGAAGATAGGGTTTGGTGGTGTTTACTGGCAATCTTCTCGCCCAATTCCTCCTTTCTCTTGATTCTGAATCGCGTTCTACAATAAAATAACAATTTCCTATGTTTAAAGACAATCGTAAACAGAGCCAAACCTAAATGGCGTAGAAGGCTGGGTATGGTACCGTTCGCCAAACGGATTTCTCGCCACCTCCTCGACTTCGTTTCGCCACCGAAAATCGGCTTTTCGCGTTAAAGAAGAAAAAAAAATAGAGGAGGACGCAGCAGATCGAGGAGAGGTGATACGCTGATCAACGAGAAGCCGCGAATCGTCTGTTTGATAAGGACACGAAACGATCGCCACCTCCGTCCGAATGAATCGATCGACGATCAGATTTACGCGCGGACGCGAACTGTACAGTACGCTTTGATCGATGTTGGCGCGATTCGCCGTGATGCTTCAACGTCTAACGCAGTGCCTCTCAATCCATGACTCAATCTCGACCTGAAATTAGGTCGTGGCAGCGCGCCATCTACAATGATTCAGGTTTTTATAAACAACAACGACAAAATCGAATGAAAATATAAATCGAACAAATTGGTCGCTTACTCGTATCACGTGTTACGATAAATCAAACAATTATTTTCTTCGGGTAATACGAGCGACGCTGTTTCTCGATATCCCTTTATATTTTCATTTACTGTTTTCGAGTGGGTCCGCGAAAAATTGCCGAGCGATCCGAGCTCCAGGAAGTTTGAGAAGCACTGATCCGACAGAACCGAGCGAAGCGTTTACGCTCGGTGAAACAAACATACCGACTGTATTCGCTCGCCGCGAGGTCATTGTACTATATTCCGTACGATCGTTAAACCAGAGCGCCGACGGGACGAATCTTCGACGCTCAGCCGACGGGTTAACTCGCCGTTAACGAAACCATTGTATTCGTTACATCATTGAACTAAATTGGGCTCACCCGAGAAAAATTACTCGACGACTGATTTTTCTCCTAGCGACACATCGTTAGGTATCACGTGTCACAGCTCTGTCGTGAGCGTCGTTCGACGCGCGATTTCGTCTATGTACAAATCATGGTGTTCGTTCGGTATGCTACATATATCTATACAATTACGCTCGAATCGAATTCTCGGCGCGTTCGAGCCACCGTTCTTTGAATATCGAAGCAGCCTCGAGCCGAGAATCCGAAAGTCGAGTTTGCCTGAAGAAACTTCAGTCGAACTTTGCGATCCGGGAAGAGGAGTGCCTCTTATTTAAAAAAAAAAAAAAAAAAAAAAACAAAATAAAAGAAACGCGAGATCTCTGGTTCGCTATCGGTATTCGTTCCAAGACGCAGGAAGACTCGTGTCCAGCAAAATCGTGGCAACAGCAAGGACCATCATCGAAGTCGCGTACTGTACATTCGCCGATATACCCTAAAGCGTGGGCCCAAGTCACGTCGGAGCAGTCTGTGGGACGCTTAAGAATCACAGACCCCTGCAGTGCGTCCTTCGTCGAAACACCACGAACAATCTGTGCATATGTATACGCGTTGTCCTTCTCTATCGATCGAACCATGTTCGTCGCGAGTGCTGTTTTCCCAGGCAATCGTGGCTCGCGCGGACAATGATACGATTACTCGCGTCTGGGCGCTATTACGTAGTCGGTTCTAAAACGGCGGTCGACTTGGACACCTAAATCGTCCCATCTAGATCGTTTCGCCGCGATCGTTCTTCGAGCAGGGTTTGCTCCGCATCCGGGCGACTGGATCACCTCGCGCGACCGTTCTGAGTGGATCATGAAGACGCTAGAGATGAGCAAAACTCCTGTCCAGATAACAGTCACCGATAAAAGGTCGACAACGTTTTATTCCTTATTGGTTGAACGAAAAGTGGAGCTTGTGTTCGAGCGATTGAATCGTTCTACGTTTGTTTTTGACAGATATAATTCGAGGAAAATTTTGCTCGTCTCTGTCAGACAGACCAGATAGTAGAGAACGCGGGTCGGACTCCAAAGAGCCAGCGTTGGGCAGTGATTACTTGCGATAATCGTACAATACGTGTGTTACAGTGAAAGCGCGAACTACAACGAACGTACACATATTTTCCATGAATTCTAGCGAGAACTAACCAGAATCTAACCTAATCCAGACGAAATTCAGCAGTGAATGTATGCATTCGTTATTCATCCTTACACTGTAACGCACATTTTCAGAAAATTGTATGATAAAGGCGTATGTATACGCTCTAATACATCGAATAATAATATATATATATATAGGTATATATAAAAGGCGTACATAAACGGTCGGTGAATTTTGCTCGGTACATTTACTGTTCTATTAAACTGATACAGTATTAGACATATCGTTACACGTTGCACAGCAACCGATCGAGTAACTGAATATCGAGAACAGTTTCGATATCTTCTCGCCTTCAACAATGAAATTTAGTTTCTAAGCTACATTTAGAGTGTACAATGAGAAATCGGTGATCGGTCGGAGCTAATCGTGTCTGATTATTCGTTAATCATGACTAGTGATTACTCGGTAATCGTAATCATGGATTATGCCCAACGCTGGTTCTCGTAGATCACGCTCGGTCGAATGGATCGTCGACCTGGACAGTCTTCCGCGATATAGGTCACTGGATTCGCCGCCTACGGAGGGTCACGGCTCTATGCTGAAGAAGACGACGACAACGACGTATCTGCTATTGCTGCTGCTGTTGATTCACTCGTCGAGATCATCGGCTGCAATTCTGACCCAGGGCGGGGCCATTGTCGTCGCATTGGCGCTTCCAAAACAAAAGACACACAAAACAGCGACATTAGCGCGACACCGTCCTCACTGTTAAATGATTTTCGTCACCGAAACTTCGCCATTCCCGTCGCCGTTTGCGATTTCCTTCTCTCTTCCGATCGGCTCCCGTTGTCCGTGTCTCTCCTCCTCTCGCCCTGTCGTCTAGGCGTTTCTACTTTCGGCGGGCGATCAACGTGTGAGCTCTTCCGTCTCGTTTCGACGTGCCGTCATCGTGATCGTCTCGGCACTGGCTCGTTCTCGGCGCCGCGTTTACCTAACGTGCGGCCGAGTTCTCTGAGACGGCAGAGAATTCGAGACGAGCCGCGATCGTCCAAGTTATCGCAACGAGAGCGAGAGTTTCGAGAGGGATGAGGCGACGAGGTCAGAGAGAGAAGGATCGCGAGGCGAACGTTTATCCACGATTTCAGTTTTTCGCCGGCGTCCGCTACCGTGGCACAGGAGATACTATCGCCCATTCTTTGCCTACTTTCGTGATTTAGAATTAGTGTCTTAGCTTTCGGTTACCTGAAAACAAAGTCAACGAAAGAACATGAAGCTCGATTCCGGCGGGTCTCGACGCCGGGCGTTTCGGTGTCTACGAGATTTAACGTGTCTTGACAGTAACGAGAGAATCAGAAGAAAACAGAAACGTGCGTACCGTTCATGCACTAATCCTCGAATGACCAACGTCGGTCCGCCCAGTGCGGGATGTCTCGAAAATCCGTCGACGTGCGTACTCGATTTTCGCGAAACATTCGGATTTTGATTAATTTTAACGAATACATGCGAAACAATCATCCATATCGCTGAACTTATCTCTCGATATACGAGTTACAGCTTGCGTAAAAAAAAAAATAGAAAAAAAAAACAAAACGCGTCCGTCTCAACTTCTGCTGGTTCTACGAGTAACTGTAACCGTAATTAGCAACACGGTTCGTTAGAAGCCGAATAACCGAGCGCTCAAGAAAATCGAGTACGTAAAGAGCTCCAGTTACGTGACGTTGAACGATAACACGGAGCAACCAGTTGCCGAGCAGAGTTTCGCAACAACCCAGAACGACAATTCCCTCTTTTCGTTACGCTCCTATTCGTCGAGACGTAACGGTGACTATCTTGAAACCTAAACGCGAAAGTACTTTCGTAAACGCCAACGCGCTCGAGTTTAGGTTTCCTTCTTTCACGTTTGGGCATCCCGACGAACGCGAACGATTCGACGATCCAGGTACGCGTCTATCGCGATAACGTATTCGTACCGGTTGTACCTCGGAGACAAACTCTCAAATTTCCCCGATTTCAACTTGCTTGCCACGGAGACAAATTCTCGAGCTCCGAAGAGTTTAATCGAGGAATATTTTATCGATCTAGATTTCTGAACGGATCACAGAAATGTTTGATCGAGGATCTGGATCGTCGTGAATCTTTGTCATCGTTCGCTTGGCACATTGGGAATTCACGTAGAACCCACGTGGATAAGAAAGTGAAGATAACCCCTCGCACTACGCGGAAATTCGGAAAATGCCGCGCGCCAAACCCGAGCGCCCGAACGAGCGCAGTAAATGTAACAACGAGCCTGACTCGTGATTTTCAAGTTTGGTCTGAAATTTTCATCAGGAGTCAGACTCGTAAAAATAGCGCTAGGGGATAAAGATACGTTACTCCGTCCATCAGCGAAAGAGACAGAAGCTAACTATATACAAGGTGTCCCAAAAATGTAACACTTTGAAAGGAGTGGTTCGGGAGGTAATTTGAAACAACTTTTTCACTTTTTCCTTAGCGAAAATGTTGTCCGAGGCTTCGTTAAGCAGATATTAACAAAAAAAAAAAAAAAAACTCGACCAATCGGAGCGCGTGGCCACGCGCTAGAGAGCCGCAGTAGTACAGACTACGCGTCAGGCTGCTCGCGCTCTGATCGGTCAGTGTTTTCCGTTAATATCTCCTTAACGAAACCTCGGACAACACTTTCGCTAAATGTTGTCTCAAATCACCTCCCGAACCGCCTCTTTCAAGGTGTTACAACATTTTTGGGACATCCTGTATATGTTTCCTGCGCTCGTCCCCTACTGGTTATGCAAAATATAAAGATTGTTCAACGTGAGTGTAAGAAAAGACCATTCCAGTGCACCCGACAGCAGGCAAACAGACTTCATCGTCGCATTTGGAAAGCATTTTCTCCGCTGTCTTTATCATTGATCAGAGGAGTCGCGATAATTACAGCGTTCGTGTTCGATCGAGTAATTCGATCCATTCGATGAATACGCGATGCAATTGAAAATTAAGTAATCACAGGCAATTGAGTCGCGATTAAATCACGCGATGGATGACTATTAAAGTAATCGTTGGGTGCCAACGACGACCGGCGATCAAAGTAATCGCTATTCTACGATCTCTAGTGTAACATTAATAACGACGTTTAACGTTCTTTCCAAATGACACAGTGCTCTCCCTCTTCCCTCTCAACTTCTCCCCGGATCTCGGTCGATCGAGGGAGAACCATGCCACGGTATCAAGACACCAATCTACCAAAAAAGAGTGACCTGCCAAATTAGAGCCGAATGCAACTAACACCGACATCCACATCGAGATATAGTTCGCAAGCAAAAACAGTCTGTACACAGTCGGCGAAGAATAAATCATAATTAATTCGGAACCGTTCGCGTTGATTCTATCGCGAAAACAAGGTACGCGCACTTACAATGAGTAACTTTAAGTATTGAAAATATATATTCTGATAATGTACGCAATTGCGGGCTATATATACGTACCTTCATCGTGAATAAAAATTATAAAGCGACGAAGTGAAAATTGCAGTAATTGCGGTAAAAGTTGCTCACTGTATACGTAACGGCATCGCCATAGTTCGTTTACAAAAATCGAAATGAAAAGATGCATGAAAAGAATGAAAAATCGTGACGCGATTGACTCCGGTGTCGGATAGTTTGTGAATTGAATCGCGACGATTTAATGACCCCGTGTGCAATGTTGCATGCAAACCCCGATGACAGCACCAAGTGTAACAAGCTCGTTGCAATTGCTACAGAAACGTTACGGTGTAAGAGGAAAAAGAAACTTTTGCTTTCGTCAGCCAATCGAAGATAGACGAATCAAGAAATTTGACATCAAGAAAGAGTAGAATGCTTTCAGAAAATGCGCGAAAGAATCTTCCTTCTTAAACCTCCGAATCGAGAAGACCCCTTAAGAAATAATTAAACGCGCGATTAGTTACAAAGCTACGAAACAGTGAGACCACACCCTCTGGACGCTAGGCAGAGCGAGTTATACTTAGGTGCTTATTGCTGTGTGATATAGCAACTCACTTGGACTTCGGCTGCATTTCTCCCTTACGGTGCAACCTCATACTGACCCTTCGCTCCTGGCCGACCGCGCCCGACGCTGAAAAACACCAGCAGAAAACAATGCATACCGCGGAAAAAGAATCACTTGCACCGTTAACACCTTCGTGCTCGCGTAATTAATTCTCTTTTAACGGGCGGCGGTCTTTCGTGTTTCAAAAACAATTAAAAAAAAAAAAAAAGCTACAAAAAATCATTTGATCGCGAAAGACACGGTATACCAAGCTTAAAGAACAATCTTTGAAAGGCTAACACGAATGGCACGAGCATGAAGAGGTTAACGATTCGATGTATCCTCAGGTTTCTTCAGAGATGGGCAAACTGCTCTTGGATCGTGTTCGAAACCTCCATGTCCCTTAACAATCCCCATCGAAATTAGATTACGCGATTCAACTCGAGTTTGACCATCTCTGAGAATCGCACGTTAAATAAATACCGATAAAGATCGACGGAGAAATCGCGAGTATACTCCGACCCTTTAAAGCGCCGTTGCAAAAGAGTTTGCAACGTGACATGAGTTAATTTTACATTCTCGAGGCATTTGTAAATTAAAAGCTTCTTCAGTTCTTTAATAGGAGACGTCTTCGTAGGAGACGTCTTCGCGTCTACGTAGTTCTCGATCATCCGACGTAGAAATTCGGAATTTAAAGGGTCAAGATACGCGATCGCTCTCCTTAGGAACGAGTTACAAAACGCATTCGCAGTCGTGCGGTAGCTCGAGTCGGGAAAATCAGAAACTAGAGAGCACAGTGTCCGGAGGTGTATGAAAACAGTACTCGCGTTACAGAAGCGCGCATCTCGCGGTTACGCGGGTTACAAGTTACACCCGTCGCAAGTCGAGCAACGTTCGGGCTACTTTACAGACGGTTTCACGTCGCTTGTTCGTTGGTCGTGACCAACCATCCGTGCTAATACCGCTGGTATCGTGCGAGAATCGTTGCGATTCGATCCGAATTATGCTACAGGGTGTCCAACGCGAAGGTATTTGCTCGATTGTCGTAATTGACGCGTTAAATGCAACGCCGGTTTTACGTGCCGTTTCGTTCAGAATATAAACAGGTATCAGGCAACAAAATCTCAGTACCATTTATTGTTCGAAAGAAAAGAAGTCGGTGCACGTGGTTTCTAGGTGTTTAACGTGTTAATTACGTGAGTAACAAGAGAAAGCAAACTGTTCGTAGGTTGATTTAAGACTTGAATTGAAATGATACTCGTCTGTTATTCGAATTAAGAAATGGTAACGCTAACATTACCTAACGCTGCAGAATTTCGTTCGTCGGACACCCTGTATAGACTCTAGGAGACACTGTTGGTTCGCTGACGGGATTCTGCTCGAATAACGACAAAGTGTTTCGCTACACTCGAAGGATTAACGTAGAAAACATTCGGATCCGATGTGAAGTCGATCGCGACGGGCATCGACCGCACGGAACAGGAACGCGATGGACGGACCTTTCACGCTTGGCAATTGAAATGGAAAAAGCTCTCGACTTGAGAAACAATCGTCGAAAAGACATCGTGACGACGCATACGATTCAACGGTTCAGAAATGTAAAAATTGAACAAACAAAAAAAGAAAAATGAAAAGAAATGGAAAAAAATATAGAAAAGAAAAACAAATACGCCTCCGTGAAGACAGATGATGCGAATTAGAATTGAAAAAAGAAGAGTCTTGGATCGAGCTCGAAGTGTCTCTCGTACAATATGGTTTTTCCATTCAAGCCAAGTGAGAAAAAAATTTTGACAAGGATAATCGACAATGTCGTGTGGTGAAATAAATAAAGAGACCAGTCCTTGAATGGAAAAACATTTATTTGCTACTTCATCATCATCATCATCATCACCATCATCATCATCATCATCATCATCATCATCACCACTATCGATAAAAACAGGATAATTACAAATAGATGCGCGATTGCGAAGACTCCCTGGATAAGTGAACAAAACAAGGGAGAAATAATGCGCGATAGGGAAGCAGCGATGACGCCTACCGTGGGTTCCAGCGTTTAGGAAGAAGTCAGTAAATTCACAACTTCCCTGACGATCGGGAGAAACGATTCAACGTGCACGTGTTGCCGTTGTTGCCGAACGAAAGAAGCCCTCGGGATTACAATTCGCGCGTAGAACAAGTAGAAAACTATGCTTTATTGTTTCTATCTAAGCTTTGGTAACCTTTCTGGATCTCGAGGTGCTTCTTTTCGTTGGATCGAAATCGGTCGTCGTGAACAGAGTGGCCACGATCGTCCGATCGTCGAAGAACGATTCACTTTCTGCGAACAAACGGTGCGTGAGAGGATTAAGCGCGAAGACGAACTATTTCTATTAAATCGATAAGCAACAAACAAGAATTTTCTCAATCTCTGCATTCGATGGATGTCTACTTACAATGTTCAGTGTTTGGAAACGGACTTGACTTTCGATGTATCTAGTAACAGTATCGAGGAATTATTATCAGCCTGGATTGCCGTATGCTACTATAGACAATTTTCTTTTTTTTTTTAATTAAAGACTGTTTCTAAATAGCTCGGTAGATAAAGTATTAATTGACCGAATACGGTAAAGTCCCCTTAAATGCACAGGGCTCGGTACCGAACTTGTGTGTTTATCACAGAGTTCGTATATATTTTTATGTTTGCCGACAAGCTTCGAACGTAGAGAAGGACAGAGAATAAAGAAGAGGACGGAGAAAAAACACCAGGGTACGTCGGTGTTTTATCCAGTTTTACCTGGATCGCGTTACACTGCTCGGTGCTCGAACTCCTTGACCCCTCAAGGGGTACAGCCCCCTTTTGGTGAGGATGGTTTCCGTGCGTTTAAGGAGACTTTACCGTACTGGTTTCGATTTAAATTCAATTTAGTGTACAAATTACTGTTCCAGCGTATCAATTGTTACGTCACAGAGCAAATGAATTTTTGTGATAAACCTGCGAGGAATTAACGATGGAGATATTTCTTTGTTCCTTCGCGCCTAAATCCTCTCACGCAGTTCTTGCTCTTTCCATCGCGCTGGAATCCCTCTCCCCCCCAAAAAAAAAAAAAAAAAAAACGAACGCGGCGACACGTTCGGCTAACATCTTCGAAGATCGACAAATTCCTATCAGAAACATCGATTTCGAACTCGACCTTTCGGATAGTAAAAACTAGTTTGTATTTACGTCCATACCCTACCTCAAAAAGTAAACACACTCGCTCTATATGGATAATAAACGCTGGGTTATGATTACAATGTTCGATAAGCGTCGCGATGGAACACTCGAGACGGTTAACGATTAAATGAACGAACATAAAACGGTATGTTGCGAATTCTAATTAGCCCTCTATTACATATTAATCAGGAACTCGATAAAAATCTCTACGAAGTACAGACGGAATCTCGTGTTATTTTTTACGGATACGTCTACTAGCTGCGCGGATTCGGTCGCGTATCGTTCAGGACGAATATCGATTAATCGACGGATACATTAACCACGAAGAGAAATCTCTTTTACGGAAAATAAAGCGACAATCCATGCGATAGAGGGTTAATTATACGATGGGAGGCGTACGATTCGTTCGCGCGAGACAATTATTCTCGAGTCGGATCGGACGGTGTGACGCATTGGTGAAAAATGAAGCGAGCACGACTTCGATACATGAGCGTTAATTTTTGCTTTCGAAAGTAGACGAACGTTCGTGTAAATGAAAAAAGACGAAGGTAGAAAATGTTAAAAAGTATAAAATTGTTTCGAGGAACATAAACGTTCCCTTTCGAATTTTCGATATAAAAATCAGTCTGAGGAATATCAGTTCTTCGATTAGTCTCGTAATCGTATAAAAATTACTAGGCGAAATTACGGACTACGAACTACTCTAAAATTAGGAAGAACTTTCGGGAGTTTCGCTGAATTTATCGTCGCTCCGATGGACCGCCGTATATCCGAATAAACGGAGTTCCACTGTATTTACTTTCGACCAGCGACGAACGGATCCGTTAAATGGTCATTTAGATAACCGATCGACAATCGCTCTTTTCTAATTCTAAATAAAAAATGAGAGATCCAACACCATAAACACGGCGAAGGTGATGAAGTGCTCGTATGAAAAAATATCATTTCTTTATAAAAACGCGAGTATCAAAAGTTAAGGGAATTTCTCCGTATAATAGCCCTATTCGCCATCGATTCTGAATTTCACCGTGCTGCTACTGTTAAACGTCTATCCCCTATCTTATGTACACCGGTGGTTTCTTATTGCGTTAGTTGCTGTAGTTTGGTATATGAGAGTATACATTTTGCGTTAAGTCCTATACGTCTCGTAAAGGAGACAGACAAAGAATATCAATTCGATCCATATCGAGGCGTCGATCGGATTGGTTTGAAGAACGAAATTCGAAAATTGCAGCAGGATTACCCTATAGAGTTCTAACGAAACCTCGACAGCAATAATTAAAAAAAAAAAAAAAAAAAGCAGCTGTCTGCCAAAATATTTTGAATCCCTTGCGATAACTACCAATATTTCGAAACACGATGGATCGCATGCCGAATGAATAAAATTAGCGTCTCCCGAACTGTTTCGACCACGAAAAACTTTTTATCTTATTTTTAAAAACGATATAAAACGAATGTACATGTATAGAAATGATGAAATCTGTTAAAATTGAACCCGTCGTCCACATAATTAAAGTTAAAACGATCCAAATTATGCGTTACGATGACGAAGTAACCTTCACAGTTTGAGAAACGCTAACCGAAACAAACGAGTTTACGTCACCGTTTACATTCGGAATGCATAACGTAAATTCGAAAGAAATCAAACGAAATACATGGAACCTTAGATCACAGCTTGATCAATGCGAGTATTTAAACTATAACGTTTAGGTTATATTGCGACGAAACGGTTACACCTGACCTCTAAACAAGAATCATGTTATTAATGCGGTATTAGCGGTATCGCTCGTCGCAATCCTCGATAAACGTCACCTAAACGAACGGACGATAGTGCCATGAAAAGTTAAAAGGAAACAGAATTTAAATTCACCTTAAAGATTGATTATACTATTCCATAGATCGCGAGAACAAAAAACCTGTCAGGTATAGCAGCATACAGAAAAACCTCTACGGTAGCGTTCCTTGAACTTCACCTTTCCGTGAATTTCCGAAATAACGGAGAGCTACGCGCAAGCTACGATAAAGATCGCTCGGTGGTGTAAGAACGTTCCCTATAAATATGAAACGCGAGTCGCGGTACAAATACAAAGTTAAAGGCAAATGCAAATAAACATATCGAGAAGGATGCCCTTTAGAGTATCAAGATTCATGGCCTGAATGTTGTTACTCCGTGCAGTTTTCGACAATCCGGTCTCGGTCGCCGCGACATTGTTTCCATTAGGTTTGTGATCCTTGGTACTACCAGGTGGATCGTTCTTAACGCTCGGAGGAGTCGGTTCCATCTGTTTCTTTTCGTTTGCATTGAGTAAATTGTTCTCCTCCTTTTTTGCCTGCAACGTACTGTCTTCCAATTGGATGGTGACCTGCTTTCTATTGGCGGAGACCAGATCGTCCTTGCTAGTGTCGCGCTCAGAGAAAAAATCGTGATTGGACTCGACGGAGGTACGCCTCACCGGCAGACTCGGGACTCGATCAAAAAAATCATCCTTCTGATACTTGCGTAGAAAATATTCGCACTTCTCCTCGGCGCTCTGCGAATTCTCGTATTTATTCCGTCGTCTGATGAGGCGCTGCTTTACTAAAAAATGCCAGTTCCTACGGAGGCGTTGGAAAAAATTTGGACGATCGCGAACCGACTTGTTCGCCGACGTGTCCATAGATTTCTCCGATCTCTGAGAGAAGTCCAGGCTCCTCTGTTTATCGTGGCAAACCGTTTTCTGCCATTCCTCCTCGGTGAGGTCCAGGCTCTTCGAACCCATCAGCGATAAATCGACGTTTCTCTTCAATATTCCCAGAAAAAAGGAGAAATTTTTGTTCTGCTTGGCGGGCCCTTGGCATATCTTCTTGCAAAACTCGGAACGAACGCAAGATTCGTGGTCGAGGAACTCCGCGGTCCCGGAATGACGACGGACGTCGCGGGTCGCGCTGAGACGTCGACTTCCGGGCGTCGAGCTGTCCTTCGCGTTGTCCTGATCGCGACCCTTCTCTTCATCCACGCTGCCGAAGCAATTCAGCGAGCCGGGTGTTTTGACGGCGTACCCGTAAACGAGATTGTTCTGCTCGAGCGTATTGCTATTATGGAACACCACCACCTCGCGATCTACGTCTTTCTCGCGGTGTCCTAGATTCAGACCCGTTACGTCCTGCGCTGCTCTACCCGGCGACGATTTAAACGTACTGAACTGACACGGATTCGAGCGTTCCTGCGCGATATCGCTACCACCTGCTTGCGCGTGTCCGACTACGAGCTGCGTTTTTCGTTCGACTATAGCCTGCTGCTGGCTCAAACATAATTCTCGGTAGAACTTTATTTTACCTTGGAGATCACTCTTATCTTGATTGTCCTGATCGCGAAGTGCTTCCATCGCCTCGCGTTTTTGCCGCATACTTCTCATATTTGAGGTTGTTCCCACTGTCGGGCCCACCGTCGGCACCGATGCGTTCGCCAGACACTGCCGCGTGTAGGGCCTGCAATTCACAACATCGACGCGATGAGAGTTAATCTTATTTATTAATAAATTGAATAACATCGATAACGAGCGATATCGAGGCTGGGAATCCTCATTAGGGACGACAAAAGAAGAACGAAAATAAATGTTTGAGATAAAGAATTCATCGTACTTGATTATTCTTATTCGACGCGTGTATTTCCCGATTCATTGACCCAGCCGCTAATAATAGAACGCACTGGGTAATGAAATGACCATGCTATTTATACACATGAAAGAACACGGTATGGTGGAGACGCGATCGCCAACATTTTCATGTCTGATTTCGTATACGTTCTGCTTAATTCTGTTACCACCAACCTTGATCGCTGTTCTTGATCGTTATTGGTCCCGGACGGCAGCGCCGCGTTCGTTTGTTGAGAGTGCATCGGCACCTGTTGCGCCGAGGGCAACGTCGGTTGCCTCACGTTACCGAACTTCAGCATATTCCAATCGAACACGTAGTCGTAAGTGAAACCCTGCCCGTGGAATAGCGTTCGGAAGAGTTGTCGAAGATACGAGTAATCTGGCCTCTCCTCGAAACGTAATCCTCGGCAATACCTTAGGTACGACGCAAACTCTACTACAATAACAAGATTTTTATTTTGAGTACGAAGCGATTCCGGTTCACCGATGTTATTGAACAGTGCAACGCAAGAACGGGTATTTACCGGGATAACCTTTGCAGAGTTCCTCGACGGGTGTGGACATTTTCTTTTCGGAGATACGTTCGTATTTCTGCCTCTTGGTCGCTGCTTTCAAACCTTGCCAGGGCAAACTACCCCTGTTGAAGTACATAAGAACGTACCCCAAGGATTCAAGGTCGTCTCGCCGTGATTGCTCGATTCCCAAATGTGTGTTGATACTCGCGTATCTGTTTATATACAAACAAAGCAAAAATTGTAAAAATTCATCGAGAATGAAACGTCGATGAAAGAGAAACAATGGTGTATCCATCAACAAACCTGGCCGTTCCCGTCAGATTCTTGTTCTCTCGGTAAGGTATGTGTTTGTGAGTACGAACTTCGCGATATTTCTTAGCTAATCCGAAGTCTATAATGTACACGAGATTTCCTTTTTTTCCTAGTCCCATCAAAAAATTGTCTGGCTTGATGTCTCGATGGATGAAGGTACGACTATGAATATAATCCGTTCTACTTATCTATAGAGAAAGAATAGAAAAACAATGTATCAGTTATCGACATGGCGGTTGCGTCAAGTTTTCGTTATTGCAAGCGTAAACAAAAACAGAGAAAAATTAGCGAGTCTTTCGCACGCTAATAGCAACTGGAAATCAATGCAATGAAACAAAGAGAGTAAGTCATGCTTCATTCATATATTCTAAGGTCATTGCCTCTGGTAACTAATAGTACAGAACTGGTAACATTCGTTGGACCTTACGAACTGTTTGGTGGGAATTGAAAAAATTTTGAAAATACCGAAGGAAAAAGGATCCTTTCACGGATCCTTTCACCTGTTTTTTTCTGAAGATTCTCCCATTTAGCGCGACACCAGAATAGTACTTTGCTAAATGCATTTTGCTTACAACCAAAGCTTTCTATACTAGCATCGACTCCTCGTAAAACATTGTTTTTATTGAGATCGTGAAGCCATATTATCGGCTAACCGAGTCGTTGGCTGATAAGGACGTTACTCTTATTGTAATTTATTTCATCGATGGAAAACAGAATAACAAATACTTGCACATAATCGCAATATGAACTTTGAACGTTACAATATATGCTTTGTATTTGCGACGATACCACAGGAACATGAAATCGAAGATCTCGTTTCAAAAGCGGCAAGATGAAATTGCATACATTATCTCTTATCTTTCGTCGAAGAACGAGATGATAAGCAATAATATAAAAAAAATGTAAAAGAATATCAAGATGAAATACTGTAAAGCTTTCAAGCCTAGCATAAAGGATATTAGTTACTTGTTACGTATAACTTACCAAAAAATTATAACAAAAAAGACAAATATGGCAGTAAATATTGAAATATACGATTACAATAAAAAAAACTCTTGAAACAATGATCCTAGTAAAACTTATTATTTACCAACTGATCGGCGAGAAGCAAAACTGTCTTTAAAGAAAATCTTCTTGAACAGAAATTAAAGAGATCCTCCAGCGACGGACCAAGTAGCTCCATTACCATTACATTGTAGTCACCTTCCGAGCCACACCATTTTATAGTAGGTATGCCAACTGAAACATTGCAATAAAGTACGTTTGACAACAATTTAACGCAACGTGTCCGTCAAAATTTACAAGTAGAACATTAAAATATCGTTTGAAACTAAATAAGTGTCCTCATAGAAAAAAAAAAATATACCGTTACAGAGGAAAATAAAATAATGATAATTTGCGAATAGAATAAAATAAATTATTTACGTTACGAGTAACTATGCAATTTATTTTAACTAACAAAACTGGAGCATGAATATGCAATCGTTAAAACGGTAAAGTCCGTATTACATTGTCACAAAGAACACAGGACCGGGGTGGGGAGAACGGAGAAACATAGGAAACAGGGAAGGGGAGGAGGGAGAGCGAGAGAGAAGGTTCAGTGGCCAGACCTCAACCAGCTGTCCAACAAACAAACACAAAATTCTGACGGTTCTCGCGCGACAACGATTCGAAATATGCGTCGCATTTTCCGACGGTTCGCGAAACCCCACGAAAACGAAAAACCTTACTCACCGCCTCCTTGCATCATCCTGTAGAACTTGGACTCTATGTGCAACTGCGGATGCCGCGTTTTTATGCATTCTAGCTTGATGGCGACTTCCTCGCCGGTGGAGATGTTGGTACCTAAGAATAACAAAAAAAAAAGGCCAAAGGCCCGATCACGCGGTTGCCAGACGGGGCGAAATTTTTTACGAAAAGAAAAAAAGAAACGATCGAAAAAATAAAAATAAATAAACGTGTACATGTGTGCACGGGGGAGTTGGCGCGTTCATGCATGTCGTAGGGCAACTAGCGTGAGTAGGTGGGCGGATAGCGTGTGCGATACGTTGGTGTGCGTGTGTGTGGGTGGGAGGGGGAAGGCACAAGTAAAAACGTAAATGTCGAAAAGGAAGCAGCGAATAGAGTTACCTAGGTAAATGTCGCCGAAGGAGCCGCTCCCGATTTTCCGTCCTAGCCGGTACTTATTACCAACGCGTAGCTCCATCCTTCAGGCTCGCGGGTCTCGCGAAGAAAAGTAGCACGGAGCAAGGAAAGACGACTTTTAGGCAGCCGACTCCGAGGAGCGCTCTCAGAGGCTCCCGTTGGTGGTGATGTTTAAACGAGACCTGGCCGCCGTGTTACAAACTGGACGGGGCCTCCATCTTTGATCGCGTCGCCGTTCGCGGACCTACGGGCATTTCTTCTTCTTTCTCTCCTCGAAGTAATAGTTGCTGCTGCTGCTGTCTCTTCTTCTTCTCGCTGCGATGGCGGCCGCGCTGCTGATGGCGCTGCTGTCGTTTTCGCCGTTGTTGTTGACGGCGCTGCTGCCGTTGCTGCCAGACAGAGTTCACCACACAGAGGCCACCGTCGAGGAGACTGTCGTACCTGTGATGTCAGATCGAGGACGGGTGTCATAGAAAATTGCCCGTTCCACCTGGTTCGATGGTAGGGAGAACGGACGCACACTAACGGACGAGTCGCGTGTACGTGAAATCGCGCTTCGGACAACTTCGGATCGTAGAGAGAGAGAGAGGGCGAATCCGAGCTTTTCTTTCGCTCTGTCTAAACAGCTGAAATCCTTGAGTAGAAATGTTTTGATTTGTTTTAAATATTAGATTCTGGGATTTTGTTTTTTAAATCGAAATGAGTAGAATCGATTCAATGTCAGATATCATTTTTCTATTATTTACAAACTATGCCTCGCGTATATTTTAGAGATCTAACTAAAACAGAGATGACAGTCGTACAGTGACTCTATTAGTCATTTATTCAATGACAGTGGCCTTAGAACTTTATCGTGATATTTTTCTCTAGAAAAGTAACAATAGACTTTCTGAAAAGAGGTGTCGAGCATGCGACGGAAAATGACACGTGCTCGCAGTTTACCGTGAAATCTAAAAATTCGATTTAACTGTACGATCTAACTGTTTTCTCGTTCTATGTATTTCGGATTCAATGTAACACTCGTTATCAAGGCAAGATCCTTCTCGAGTACATTAGACGACCAAGAATCGTATTCCGTTTGCCGGCAATTCCAAGTTCAGCTGTGTCGAGAGCGAGAAGATGAGAGCATCATTCGTCTTCTCTCTCGACTCCCCGAACTAACCCGAAGTGGCGAGCACACGTATACGCGAGGCTCGTGGATCGGTATGTGTACGTGGGGGGGGAAAATTCTCTGTGACTCGCGCCCTCAATGTGGCATCACCAGTGTCGTACCCGAAATCCTTGCCCCCCACGGGGGGCGGCTGATCACTCGTCCTTGTACTTCGCGGGTTTAGTAAGCCCGAGAACGCGCCGCGACGAACAACACCACCGGATCTTGCAACACCACGTCGATCCGGACAGAGCAGCGCGAACCGGGTAAGGGCATCTGCCCTTTCGCTACGTAGATCCTGCACCGGAGACAGAATGGCAGACACACCAGTTATGGCCGTCCACGATCCACACCGTTGCGAACGCTCACCCCCCCTTAATCGTTGCCTTTTACGCGCGAACGCGACCCGTACAATTTTTTTTCCAAACACACGACCGAGGAATCGACCGACCGACCGTTCGCACGCGAATTTATCACGACACTGTATATCACTTTCGCTCACTTTCTACAACGCTTGTACTGGACAAGTCCTGTTCTCAGTGTCGCACGCTCGCTTACTCCCGACCGCCGACCACCACGGCGACGCACGACGAACGCCGAAGGCACACGAACCGCATTTCGACACGCCTGAAAAACTTCCGCGTCATCTGGTGAACACTGGTTGAATAGTGTTCGATAGCGTTTGTATTTGTACCGATGTCATTCGAAATATTATTGAATCTCAACAAAGGCTAGTTTTTAAAGCGTTGATAGCCCGCCGTATCAGACTCTGTTTTTAAACAGAAATTCTTTGTCGATAGGATTAATCGTATTAAGAATTCAGTCGATGTTATCTTTTAAATTCAAGTCGCTTGTTTCAAATAAAATAGTATGTCACTTTAGTTGTACTGAATCCGGCTAGAAAATAAAATAAACAGTTTACTATTTGAATGGTGAGCTCTACGAGTCTACCTGGCTTTAAAAGGAAAAAGGAAAGTTAATAAGATACATGCATTATTACAACAGATTAGTGTTTGCAAGTTATGCAATAATATTTTGCCACGACAGAATACCTCATTATTTTCTATTTTGCATTTATTACTTTATTAACGCGTGCATTTTTGTATAAATATAGACGTTAAAGTTTAAATGTTGTACGAAATAAATCAAAATAAATAAATAATTTCTATTCGAAAAATAAAATAATAATCGTTTGTTTAGGTTTTAGAAACAGACGTTCTTTATATAAGTATGCTGGTAGTTCGATGTTAGGTGAAGTAACGAATAGGAATTTTCAGGGGCAGTGTTTGGACAGTTCACTGTGTACAATGTGTAATATTTTATCAAGGTAAAAAACCAATAAATTTCACAATAGCAGAAGCACGTTTGTTTTCCATACATTCGTATCTTACTTAACGCGATGACTTCACCTCGTTATTACAGTTTACAATTATAATAAAATCAACATACAGGGTGCTCCAGAAGCACAATACAAGTTACTAGCCCTCTTATCACGTGAAAATGAATTACAAACGTTAGACGCGTGTAAATTTTATCAAAGTACAAATTCATCCGAATTATTGTCCGCCCGAATGAGTTCAGATTCTAAACCTTTAATCAGTGCTTAACTGTTGGAACACCTTGTATAACATTTATTCGCAATTTACCACGTATAAGAGACATACTTCTCGTGAACTGGTCGATTAAAAGGAGTAAAAAGTCGTAAGAATTTACGAAAGTAGAGGAAGATGAAAATCTATCTACAAAGGCCACGCGTTGATTCCATTCACGAACAATAAAATCGACACTTGTTTCAACGCGTGCGTAGTCTCGAGAGACAGACGATAAACGGCGGAAAAACTTTGTTCGGACTCGTATGTGAATGGTATTGATTAAATGCAAAAGAAACGGATACGTCTCTTCCGTGCGTCAGTCTGTCGTTTTCAATACAAGTATTTTACGTTATCTTTATACGTAATGCTGTTTCGTAAAAAAAATCGTTAACACGGTATTCATAAAAAAAAAAAAAAAGAAAAACACGTGAATTTGAATACGAAATTACCAAAAGAGGTTAAGGATTGCGCGTTCGGCTAAGAACAACGTTGAGATCCAAAAGATTGGTGTTCTAACATACAATCCGTACTCTCGTAACACAAATCAAACTACGTAGTACGTGACTACATTAACGATAGACAGTACTAGATTCGTGAAATTTTACGACTTAATCGCGTAAAAAGTAATATGTAGCAATTGTCCTCCACCAAAAATAACTCAGCAGCAGTAGCATCTTTATCTAAAAGATCGAACATACGTGTGGTGCTAAATACATAGTTACTTTCTTCTCCGTGCATTGGATTGATTCCGTTCGACGACGTTTCGATGCTTTTTAATAGAGAAAGTCTCCTTGTACCATGGTCGTTTGTAAACAAAGAAAAGGGGAAAACTTAACGATTAACCAACGACAATAAAAAATATATTTTTAACGGCTCTCTCCTCTACGCCATGGTCATCGATAGTCGCGTCATAAGTTTCCCTTAATCTCTGTAACTTTCCTTAGAACGTAATACTACTTAAGTAGCTATCTCTCTATTCGTTAGGCGTATCGATTTTTTACACAACTTTGTTTTCTTCGACCTATTCCGCGACACGCCCATAACATTCGAAATACTATAGATGGTTTAAGTCGCCTCTTTGTTACTTTTATTATTAAAGAAATACAACGTACCGCAACGCACACGTTGGTTGCGTTACAATATGGCTGTCATGCTCACGAACTGTGATGTATTTTGTGGTTTTCTGTACATACAACAAAGTAAAATTTATTCAATTATCTCAAATTTCACGTTACGAATTATAAAATTTTTTAGACGTCTTATCTATTTTTTTTAAAAAATGTCAAATTCTCGAAAATTATTTTAAAACTGTATATCATAGGGAATCAATTGACGGATAAAACATTATACGTCGCAATCTTATTCGACAAAGATTTCCTCGCGCGTGTGTGCAAATAAAATTGATCCTGTTAAAATTACCTAGGCCTAGTCTCACTAAACCACTGAATTTGTATAGTTCTCGAATCTCGTCTGATACAAAATCTTTCGGTTGAGTGAAAAATGCAGTGACAACATTTGATAAAAAGAATAAAATATGTATATCGACGATCTTGGCAGTTGGGCACAACTCAAGCGGTTCGTCCTTTACAATACTCGAAAATGTTTGCTCGCTCTCTTATCGTTTATATGGCTAGCGCTAATGCCGCGTACAAATCTAAATTTTTTAAAGATCTACGATATATAAATTCTACCTATCGCCGCTGTGTACACGTGAGTTCATTAAGTAAAACAGCTAATTATTCGTGGCTCTGATAGTTCAGAGCGATAAAATCGGTGTGATTGGGGGCACGGGTACGATTTGGAATATTCCTAAGAACCAACTTCCTCAGGCCTAGCCAGCGGAGCTTTGGACTTTTCGGTGGTCACTGTGGTTGTTGTCACCTCCAAATTTGCCAAGTCGGCTGCACTAATCTGCAATACGTAAATTCCTTATGAGGACCCATAGGTTAGGGTTGCGTCAACATTTTGCGATAACTATCAAAGACGTCAGTTTAGAACGAAGCCTTGCTACACATGTACGAAAGAAAGTTGTTAACAAATTACAAGAGGAGATAATATAACGTAAGAAACCCATTGAATGTGAAATATTCAATATGCTAATGGACAGAACTACACGCGAATCGAGTTGTTTAGTGTGTTAGTAGCGTACAAATATGTCAAGCGTTAATCGTATGGTTAAATATCGAGGTAAGGTCCGACACCAATTATTTGCAATACATTCAGTGCCGTTTGCTGACCTCGACGTTTGGGGGTAGAGTGATGGTAGCGTGTGTCGTTGTTGTCTCGGTACCGCTGCTTATCTCTCTCTCTACCGTAGTGCCTGCGCAATAATAAATAGCAGAAAACAAAACAGTAACGAAAGAAATACAAAATAATAACAGGGGGGAAACGGGAGAAACAAAAATTTACAAAGCGATAAAAGACGAACACAGAATATTAAGCGATCGATGAATTGCGATCTATCGTTAAAATATCGTAAAAATATATCGAGTATTTACAATCTTCAAAAAGTGTAACAATGGTTGACCTAGAAAACATTCAATCAAAAATAATGTTTAAAATTGTGTACAAATAATTGAATTCATTGTTGTCGAAAATCATATAAACGTAACGGCAATAGTAAACGTGTTAATTAATAATTAGCACAGACGTGGAATTGGTAATGGCTTCACTCACTGTTCATTTGTTGTGTTTCGTTCGTCTGACTTGTTTCAACCTCTCCGTTGGCGGTCGTATTGTTGGTTGTCTGTGAGACAACGGTCGTAGTCTTGACGACGAGGGACTGATTCTGTGTGGAAATTTCCGAGGTTCGCGAAGTTACTTCCATCTTAAGTCCTGCAAGACGACTGTGAAGTTCTTCGGAAGACGTTGCGTTTCTGAAAAGTGAACTGTTACTGCCAAGAAGATGGCCAGTACACGGACAAACATCGATTAGCAGAGCAAAATAAACTTACAAAGCCAGCGTCGGTGTAGAGTTAATTTACTTTTTTCCCCAGAGATATTAATCTCACGTTTTGTAAGATTAATTGTGAACACGTAAGCGACACGATGTGTGTGTGTGTGTGTGTGTGTGTGTGTGTTTGTGTGTATAAAAATAAAAACAATAAGAAGCCAGGCACGGCGGTAGCGTCTTCACTTACAGTAAATGGTCCTTCACGCTATCGATCGTGATATCTCCGATAGAACTTAAGTCTTGGCGATCATCTTCCCCGTTTACGTCGTTCGTGCTCGCAGCTGGTCGCAGAGAAGGTTCTTTCGGGGACTCTTCGCCACTGGCTAAAAGATACGTGTTCGAGAATCGGTACTAGAGGGTCTTGTTAAGACACAGCGTTCTCCGATGTTGTTAATAGGCGTAAATTACAATTTAGCAGCTAGCTTCGATTAATGAATCACATAATGATCGTAGCAAAGCAACACTTATATGTATACACACAAGGGTTACAAAATATATCAAGCGCTTACGCATATTTTAGTATTAGCACGTTTAAACATCCTTCTATGATGATTTGTAACCGAACGATAGTCCAATATGTAATGGGAATAAGTTAAAAAAAAAATGTCATTCCTAGGAAGACGCGGTATACTCACTAGAACCCACGACACCGTTTTCTGTGATCATCCTTTGTACCGGAGCCGTTTGATTCCCTTGCGTTTCACCTTCCGTTTCGGGTGTACCCTCGACCACACCTTTCTCCTGGATTTCTTCGTTGTTGACAGTCTCGGGGAACGATCTGGCGTTCGGCGGTAAATTCAGCGCGCAATGCGCTTTCGTTACTTTACTGGCCGATAAAGAAATTCGCTGAAGTTCCGAACTTGAATGCAGATACAAAGCTTCGCCGGCTTTCGTGAACGTTAACGATGATATTCCGCTGAAATTAATAGGAAAACAATAACAATCACGACTTTACGAAAAGAAACGTTGAACGAAACGTTATGGGAAATTGATTGCTCACTTAATGTCCTCCCTCTTAATGGCAGCGGCGTTGAGCTGTCTTCTCAATTCCGGAATACTGAGCACTAAACAATCCCCGAGATTGGTCAGACACAGCAAACAGGTTTCTTCGTGCGTCCCCGCGGGTTCTATAGGACACGTAAATTTCGCGAAACCCGTTTTCCGCACACGGGAACCCTCGTGCGCGGTGAGCTTGTATTTACAATACGGTTTCAATGACGGAAGATTGAAGATTTTGAATTGTTCCTCGCTGGCGATCACCACTCTGTGAGGGGACGCCATGTCAGGGCCAGGGCTCACGCCCTTCTCGGCCTCGAATGGTTCTGGCAACGGTACGCTCGACCCGTCTAGAATCGTTATCGCGATTACAGGCGCTCTGTGCTTCAATTGAATCTCTTTTCCTAATGTACACTTTACGTCCTCTTCTGCTCTTCTAACGCCCGCCGGTATCGCTAACGTGAACACGTAAACTGTACCGTTATTGGTGCCCGCCCAAAGCGTTGGCGTGGTGTTTTGCACTGTAACACAGGAACATAATTATAGATAAATATTGATTTTCACATTTTGTCGAATAAATCGAAACGGGATGCTTACTGCTAATGATAT